TTTCTTAACATAAATCCGTTCCAATTTATTTAAGTATTTTGTACTGTGGAAATTTATATTAGAGTGTTCTTCAATAGGTCCAGCTTATCAAGCCTTATTTTCCTCAGGTAACAGTATAAAAGTATAATGATGAAGCAAATTCACAAGATGATAACTAACCAGGTCGAACATTAACTATATCATGGATCAGAGGGAGGCGTTGTCGACAGAAACCATCTTGGCAGATTTGCTTTGTCGGACAATCCTCGTCAACGTAACAATCTTTAAGTAAAATAGACTTTGCTACTTCATTTGCATATCAAAAATTCAAATCAATCGTATCCCTTTTCAAGGCAATTGGATGCACTAGAAATTATGCCACCTATTTGGTTTCCGTGACTTGTAAGGGTAATACATTTTATAAGGCTGATCTTTGTCATCAGCTTTGTTCAATCACACTTATCAGTATATTAATTTTTTAAAAAACTAGCTTCACAAAATAAATTTAATAAGTATTAGTCAACATATCGAATCAGAAACAACGAATGAAACAGTTTACATTTCAACTTGACACTTCCAAAGTAATTATTTGCGCTTCCATCAAATCATTCAGTTTCTTAAGCTAATTGGAAAGCGTTTTTTAAATAACAGTTTTATTATGATCAATTGTTCAAAATATGCCGAAAGTTGAAGCTATTTATGATTTGCCAAATTATCGACTGTGCATAACGTAATCAACAGATATTTGACGAAATCTCACATTTTACTATCATACTATTTTCAGTTAGTTAACATTATTGCAACCGGGAAAGTCTGAGTTAAAGGTTAATTTATAGTTGTTGGCAAGTATGCAATTTTTTTCAACTTAGTTTTATTCGTTTAGTTTGTCATGAATAAAAAAACAGTAAAACCTAATACATGCATATGTAAGGATCTCTTCCTTGATCAAAATAACTGACCATTACACTACAAATGCTTACTTGTAACTTCTGTTCTACCGGATATTACTTTGCCCAATTTTCCAACGCAACGACGCCATTCACATCGTCCACTGTCGCAGTCATTATTGGTCCTACATCTTTCTAAAGACATCTTGGGATATTTTCTATTTATTAAGTCATACAAAGTATTCGCAGCAGTAATTCCAGTAGCAAATTTGAGAAAAGTAAAAATAAACGTAAAGAAAAAAGAAGGAAAAGATAAAGTTTCAAATTCAATAAATAAATTTTGGCGTATAAAAGAATTTGTAAAATTCTTAAAGATAAGGAAAGCACGGCAGCATATTCAATTTTCCAGTACTTATAAAGGCAAATAAAAACAAAAATGAGCTCTTAAGTGAAGAAGAAGGACTCACCACATGAAACATTCAAGAAGAAATTTAAAAGTACAGCTAATAGAAGGTAAGGCATCATTTTTTGTATTTCGAAAAGAAATAGCTACAGCACAATTTTCTGGATATTTATTTAAAAGTTTCGGAAATAATGATCTGCATGACAAACGAGCAATTCTGCTGTGAAGCTTGGGAAAAATTTACATAACAAATGGGTTTCTTCACAACAAACTATTTTCAGTAAAAAAAAGGATTCTTTTTGGATTATTTTCTGCAAATCGTTTTCTGCAACAAAAGAAAAAAAAATCTTTGAATAAAAATGAAGCATACTTTTCATCTTGAACTGATATGAAAATGCAAATGAGAAAAAAAGCATACATTTTTTTCTGTTCGACATGTCACTGCTCCAAATTATTTAACTTTTCGTTATGGAGTTAACACCTGAAGATGCTATGCAATTATTTTTCTAGACTGCATTCCAATTAACAATCATGTCACTATTATCGAGAATAGCATATACAATTAATGATTAACTGCTTCATAGCCCGTTATAACTGAATATTGCTAGTTTCACATCTAACAAATCGTGAAAGAATAAATAATCGAGTTATTTTAATTACCTAATAAAAGGGGAAAGATTTATTTCACTTAAAATAAAAATATAACGTATTATTGCGCAAATAAACAACAAAAAAGGCATGCAAGTCTCTGAAAAAATTTTTAAAAAATGACACAAACGAATAAAGACTTATCAATGATACTTACCCTGCAATCAAAGAACACGCACATTTATTCAATCATTCACCGTCACACCTTTCAACGAAATGTTACAAAGCATCTTTGAGAATCTTCTGGATGTTTCATGAACCTCCCGAATGGTTTCAGATGATTTCAAAGTCCTCCGGAATTCCAGAAACTTTCTTGACGAACAGATTCTGAGCACTAACGGAGCTAACAACAATTATTAACAGATTCAAATTCAAGAAACTGTCCGAAGTCACTTATGACGGCTGAGTCTTTTCTATTACTCGATGGACGAAATGTTCGTATTTTCATTCATTGTTTAAAATGATTCACTTTGCAGTTTTTTTCCTCATTTCAAATGACCTCACGTTTGTACAATTAATTTCTGAGCCTTCCCGAAATAATGCTTCGAATGCTTGTTTGCAAATTGGAGCATTTGAAGCCAAAAAAAAAGTATTTCCAGGCGATTTACGGGAAGGGAACTGCAGAGCAGTATGGCTTCAATGATATATTGGGTTGTGCGACATGCCGAACGTGAGGATAATATAAACTCGGCGTGGCAAAATAATTCGACGTTAAAGAGTGATAATTCACCGCTATCAAAAAGGGGACAAGGCTCGTTAGTTGTTGATAATCAATTAGAACTGCTATGATTGATTGTTAGTCGGCGATAGAACGAGGAGATCATCTGATCATGATTAGCAGGGGAGAAGTGTGGGATCAGTCTAAATGATCTTCTTGTTTTGTTAAATCGTTGATTATACTAAATTAACCAGGCTAAGTGTTACTCTCAGGTAGGAACAGGAATAAAATCCATTTGGAATAAATTTAATAGCAGGAAGTAAAAATTAGCGTTTTTTCATATCATTCATTGGAATAAACGATTAAATGATTAAAAAGGTGATAATATCTCTTCATAATGGTATTGTATTGGAAAATTAATTTTCAGAACAAGCAGATGAGCTTGCTGTTCGTTTCAATAACATTCATTTGGATCATATCTTTGTTTCACCTTTTGATCGTACTCTTGAAACAGCTACACGACTTTTACGAGGTCACAATAATGCTACGATAAAAGTTGAACCGGGATTATGTGAGGTCGATATGTGGTTTTTACTCTTCTGTTTTTTGTTACTGCGTAAAGAAAATTTAATGCTATTTTATTGCTTGATCTCTATTATGAAATTCATTTGTTGTGAAACTCGCGCAGGCTTACTTTTTATTTACTCATTTGCGACCAGTTTTTCATCGCTAATTTGAGTAAAGTTATTCTTATAGGGATTATATATGTGTGAAGATCCTCCTGGATATGAAGATCTAAATACCCTGAAAGAGAAATATCCACTTGTCGATACACGTTATAAGTCTGTAATGCCGTGGAAGCTTCCTCGAGAAGGCGTTGGTGATGAAGCTTGTACACCACGCGTACAGATAACTTTGGAAGGGATCGAGAAACGTTTTCCAGGTAATTAATACTAACAAACAAACGTGTCAGAAAAAATTACAGTTAAATTTCTTAATCAGTGACACTTATGGCTAGTTTTGGAATTGATTATTACAGGTACTGAAGTATTACTTGTGTCTCATGGAGCTCCAATTGGTGCAATCCATGAAGTGCTGGGCGGTTCTTGGAAATACGTTGGCCAAGCAACAGTATCAAAATTTGTCAAAAAACCGAAAGGTGGTTATATCAAAGAACTCAGCGGTGATGCATCTCATCTTAGCGACAAAACTAATCTTCGAGCGTGGTAGTAATTTGGTTCCTTCTCAGTTCGACGAAATATCTGAACTCTTTGGAAGATGCTTGAAATTGAATGAGCACAAGAATATAAATCCTCTTACTTTCATAGCATTTCCTTATACTTACTCTTTATCATATTTTTTTTTTAAACTCTTTCAAGACTGTATTTTTGGCAGCCTTTTGTGAGAGTCCTTAATTTTCAATTAAAATTTATTTTCTCTTTTGCTTGGAATTCATTCTGTTTGAGATGTTTGTGATTGTGAATAAAGACGAAATCATCTACAGAAAAATACATGCAACTAAGAGAAATCCTGCGGAATTTTCTTCTTCACTAAAACATTTGCTCCATCATTAAAGGATTTTGAAACTGTTTTGACGAGTTCAATCTAATGTTTAAGGCAATGAGCACCATTACGAACATTTTATCGAATTTTTCATGGCCCAATCACTGGTGGTTTCAAAGTTTTTTCCGGATAATTTGAATTGAAATTGTTAGTGAAAAGATCTATGACTGTGTAAATGTTTTCATAAAGAAAAAAGAAATCAATATCAGTCACATCCTGCGCTAACGAACATGGAACAATGTCGCTATTTCGAAGTCCTCTTTCATCGTTCGTTATTTTGCAAACAAATGTAATTTTTAATTTAAAGCAGTCAATTTTTCCCTTTTTTTTCCTTTATCTTGTTCGTGATATGGAGAAGAATCATATCATCCTTCGTGATATAGAGAAGAATTATAACATCTCTCTCAAATTCACTTATGGGGACGATGATAGATTCAAATGTTTAATTTTTAATTTTTTTCCAGCTTAAAATTGAATTTTCTTAAATTTTATAAATTGGCGTCATTAATGACATTAACTAATCTTTTAAGAATTATAACCATCTTTTCCGTTCAAAAAGCACTTAACCCATGGAAACTTTTTGGCTAACAATCGTAAACTTTGTTTTATATCTCAATTTTCGTATTTTAATTTTTTGCTTTGGTTGACAATCTGATTAGCAATCTTTGTTTTACAAATTTTTTGCTAATAATTCTCTGTCTCGTCATACGTCATATCATGTCGGAGAATAAAGATAAACCTCATTGCTTCATCGTTTAATAAAGCCAAAAATAATGCACGTGTGTAATAGTTCCAAAAAAAATATTAATTTTGATAATTTCAATTTTCTGCCTTCTCTGATCCCTGAATTTGTCTCTCTTAATCCTTTGGATTCAACTTATAACGTTTAAATCATAAACCTGGAAAATTGATTGAAATTATCGAAATTAATTTTTTNNTTTGAAATTGGTATGTCTTAGGAACCCGAGATTACTGATCATTTTCAGTTTCAAATTTGATCTATTTTTTTTTAAAGGTTTCGAAAGCCTATTATTTCAGTGGATAAATTGAGCAGCGGTCTGATTCGTGAACGTTTATGAGTGTTTGGTGGGAAATATCAAAAGTACATATTCCATGTAATTTGTTTTATTGATTACCATTAATGAGAAAATTTGAATTTTTTGTAAAGTTTTTTTTTCGAGTATTTTTTGCTTACGTAAATTTCTTCCATTTTTTTTTTTTTTGAAATGCATCGATCAATCAGTTAATAAAAATTTAATCCATCGCTTAATCGTTACCTCACTTTATTTGTTATTTAATATTTATTTTCATCCGAGTAAATACTGATTTATGATTTCACTTCACCTTGCTCAACTATAATTTTTTCAGCTAATTGAAGAGCACTTTTAAATAGGGACTAATTTAAATAATAGTGGCAATGTATATAATTTTCTGTATTTCAATTTCATTTATTTTAGTTCGTTATGAGTAAAGAAAATAAAATTCGACACATGCATAATTTGTGAAATGGATGTTTTTCGTGGTCAAAATAAATGACCATTACAATAAAAACTT